TCTCTCTCTCTTTATAGCAAGTGGCCATTTATTTTTGCGCTCAGTGACCCGTGTCTACCCTGGCCGCCATTAATATTCGTACAACTGTAGCAAAGTAGACTCTCTGACTAATGTTGGCATGCACCGCTTGGTGTCTGTTATGTCGCCCGTCTAGTTTGGTCTGCCGTCTACACGCTAGGCCTACACGTATACATGTTCTTAAAAGGTCACGATCACGAACGCAGCCAGGTCGAACTGATGCAGCTGTACGTTAGACCTAGTTGCTATCCTCAGCCATAATTGGTCGACTTTATTTAAGCACAGTGGGGCTATCCCGAAAAATGCTGTTTTGAGAAAATCGAGGTAACGTTTTATGGAAACTTGTTACGTTTCTGTGAAAGACAAACAGAGTTTTCTCTATAACCCCCAAAATCTGGGTTAGCCCACATAGGTGCCTGGCGGTCACATACGATCATCCGCATTGAAGCCTAGCTATCCCCGAAAAGTTAAGCTGAATCTGAAACTGAAAGTTAAAGACGCTATCTTGAACGACAACGTCTTGTCGAAATGATAATAATAATAATAATAATAATAATAATAATAATAATAATAATAATAATAATAAGGAGTGGGGGGGGGGGGGGCGTATTGCACGGTCCAGGTTGTTTGTTTATTTTGCTAAGTGTTTCACGGCGGTAACGCATGAAACATTTTCAGTTTTGTAGGAATTAATTTTCAATTTTTGCCCGAGAGGCGGAACCGAAGCCTACTCTTTATAATACTATTTTGGACCGCAACTAGCACATGGGACCTCCGAGATGTTGCACCTTTATCCGAGAGGGTAGGTGTTTAGATCTTACCTACTCGAAGATCAAAGGTGAGGTTGAAAGTGAAAGACAGCAGTAAGAAGGAGCCAAGGAGTAGCAGTAGAAAGGCTGCTGAAACTGCCAGGAGACCAGAGGAGGGGGCAATTTTTTTTAAATTTTTTTTTTTTGGGGGGGGGGTAGGGGGTGGCAGAAAGTGGAGACGGAAGCAGACGACAGAATATGGTTAGAGAGCAGGAAAGGAGACGAAAAAGAGAACCTTTTTAAAGAAGAAAGTTTTCCGTCGCTGTCAAGTTTCGAATCCGCGACCTATTGATCATGAATGAGAGGCAAACACCATAACCTGTAGACCACCACAGCCTCCGGTCCTGGTAGGGATAAACAAAGGTCCATACACTGCCATGTACCACAAAGTGGAAAAAAGTACACAAGTGTACTATGTACCACACCCTTCGCGACCTACTCGGTGATGGTAATGACCCACATAGCGACAGAGGGACGTTTGCCTCGACGTGAACACTACACGTCACACATAAGCAACAGCAACAACAACAACAACAACAACAACAACAACAACAACAACAACAACACACACACACACACACACACACACACACACACACACACACACACACACATACACACACACGCGCGCACACACAAACAAACATAAACTATTTTTAAAAACAGTTACAAAGAACAATGAGAAGAACTACCCAGAGGTACATGACGTGATGTGTGTGCGACTCAACTGATGAAGTACTTTTGTACAGTCAAACCTCGTTATGAAATGCCGCCCCCTTTGGGACGGGCCAAGGACTACTATACTCACATAAAGTTGCAGAACAGCGGGGCTGGCAGTTCTTTGGGGATCTTCAGTTGTATAGCCCCGACTGCCCAACATCAAGGAACATGGTTCTGCTGTGCGATCTGTGTTTGAAAAGTGTATTTATGTTGGTTCTCTCTCTCTCTCTCTCTCTCTCTCTCTCTCTCTCTCTCTCTCTCTCTCTCGTGGGAGCAAGATTATCAAGTAGCCAATCAGTGGGTGTTGTACGCCGTGTGCAGTGTTTTCCTCTCGCGGCCAGTTTCGCTGGCGGTATGACGGGGTAAATTTGCGTTATTTAAAAAAAGGACCGTACGACTCAGACGAGTGGTTGATGGCGCTGTGATGCGAAAATACTAATAGTAGCTATTTCCCTATTCGTACATTAGCGAAACCTGACGATAAACGAGGCCAGCGGTACAACGGGTGGGGGGGGGGGGGGGGGAAAT